AGTCAGCTGAAGTAGCCTGCAGTGCTGCATTTAACCACTGTGCCACCTCGGCTCTTCAAGTTCATGTCAAACATTTTATTTGATTCTATTATATTGAAAAGCATACACATTTTTGATTTTTTTAAAATGCTATACCACTGATTTTTCTAACATTCAAATGCTATAAAATTTCACAAACATGAATCACAATAAATCCTCATATGCACCATTTCATTAATCTATACTAGAAAAATGTACTATAATGATAGTAAAAAAATTCCTTAGATTTTAATTCCTGCTACCAATCTTTGTTATTCTACATTACGAATATACTTGATTCAGAGGAAGAAAACCAAGCTACATTAATCTCTTATCAATAAGCACCATTTAAATATTGTTGGTCTTACACATGACAAAGAGGTAGAATATTAATCAATATAGATCTTATTAACAAAACTGCCTTGGTATCCAAGTACTAAACTTTCTATGCAGAGAGCACCTTACTTTCTCTTATACAAAAGTTCATGGACTATCTTTTACCCACGTATTCTTCACTTAGGCAGGAAACAAAACTGATGGGGATGATTCTAGATAGAAGTGGCTAATGAACATTTCAAGGTAAAGATAGGGTAGACTCTCCTTGAGGACAATGCAGGACTAGGATAATCAAGTGAGATTAGGAATGATCAGTGAGCATTATGAAACATGGCTTTTCAGGCAACTATTATGTAACCTAAGGCCTGCCCATAGGACAAATGGAAAAATATTCAGTATTGTTAGAAATTAATTGATAATCACATCAAAACAATTAAAAACACATTTATTACTTCTAGTTTCAAGTAAATTATTTTTAAATAGCCACACAACTCATACATGGCCCAAATCAAGTTGAGGTTGAAACACTTTCATAGATGTTTCTATTTCAATTTGATCATGATTTTTGTTGTAATGGTCCAACATTAGTCAATGTGTTTTTAGAATTTAAAAAGTTTATGGTAGAATAATCACAAATAAGATTTTACTTTGTCAGCCAATAGTATCTTTAAAAAATCAGTATTAATAACTCTGCAACATTAAATACAACTTCTGTTTTTTAAAGAAAATATGCTAAACCTATTATTGTTGAATTCAGTCTATATGTATTCTTTTCAGTTTCTGAAGGCAGCCTCTAGAAAGACATAATTTAGTAAAATCAATCTATTGCTTTAAAATTAAATATTTTAAAGAAAAATGCTATCAAAGGATGCTAAAGGTAAGAATAGGAATTACTTAATACCCAGAAATAAAAGTGGATGAAATATATATTTTATCATGTTACATTATGTTATTCAGAACCTTAATAATAGCATAATTACTGAATATAAATCTAAGAGTTTATTACTTTATTCTTGTAATTAAGTTTAGTTTTTTTTTTCACTAGCCTAAACCAGTGGTACTCAACCTTTAACAGCTGGAGAGCCACTTCACCATTAACTGTTGCAGAGCATAACATCAAACGTGAATATTGCAATCTTTTCCTCATGGTGCTACCTAATTTTTGGTGGTATTTGTCACCACATACAATATTTACTGAAACATGTCATGGCATATCATTTTCCCCATTGCTGTTATCCTTGTTTCTTATTGGTTGCTGGGGAAAAAAGGGAGGATTCCCATTCTTTCTCATGGCTGCTGGGCTGGAGTGATTTCTATTCTTACCTGGCAGGGGGATCCCAGCAGCTCCTTCGCTTTCCTCCTATGGGAGGAGGTACTTCAGTGACTCCCACACTGCCGGTCCTTTGGTCAGTGCTCCCCGCGCTGCCTGATAGAGTGGAGCGCCGATCAGATGCCTACACTGCGAGAGCCGCCTGTAGGGCCTCAAGAGCATCCAGCTCTAGAGCCACAGGTTGAGTATCACTGGTCTAAACAAAGCCAAAAAGGTACAATACAATAAGGGCCCTCTTTAGACCCTACAAAGATCAGAGAAAACCACACAACAACCCTTATGCAACATATAACATATTCCATGTTCTATCTTTACTCAAACCAATTAAGACAGATTACCAAAATTGAACAGTCCCAGGAAATTAAAAAGGACTAGTTCAGTACAAGAGTTTTGAGGCCTGCCATCTAGGATATGCTTTCCTCTTTATATATCTTCAGGACTTCTGCAGGAGCATGCTACAAGATATTAAACACTGTTTAATATATACTTAGGTAAGTGTTAAGCATTATAGCCCTTGCAAATGTTCATAAAAAGATATAAGGTGGAAACCATCTACTATAAGTCCATGATTCTACAATGAGATGACATGAATTTAAACACTAGCAAACATTGTTCAAAACCACATTTTTATTTATTATGTTTATTAATATCTAAATACAATAAATTGAAAATATTGGCAATCATTTTAAAGAAAATAAAATGAAATAAGGACCTTGGCTTGAGATAGTTCTTGCTCTGTCTTTATCAATCACTATAGCACCAGTGATTTCCATTTTCTCAGTATCTGGCAATGGTGTGTCAGATGAGATGCAGTAGAATAAAGCACAGATAGGATCAAATTCAGGATCCGCCTCCAAATCTCTTCTGGTTCGAGCATGCAATTCCATACTTAGCAGTGTAAGATACTGTACCTACACAGAAAAGTTTACATTATTATCTCTTGTCAAAACAATTTAAAATAAAACACTATAAGCAAAGCCTTTTTCAACAATCAAGCTTGAGTTTATCCTTTAGGTGATTAATGTGAACTTTTTCAGGAATCAATAAAATCATGTAATTTAGTGGTAATGGATAAATTAGTGAGTGCCTAGGAATATTCACCAATCTTGATTTAAGTACTTTCATTTTGAAAATTTCAAAAATGATCTGAGAAACATTTATTGGATATGTAAAGCATTTTCAATTAAACAATGATTTACCTCATGTAAAGCCTTTGCTTCTTGCAGGTTTTGTACACTTATTTTAAAACCATAAGAATTGTTCAAAGACGGTCCTTCAATCTGAGAAGTTTCTTTCTTTTGAGTATTTATAGTAGTGAACTGGTTCTGTTAAATAAAACAACAAACTTTTAATAATTAAGGGTAATTTTTTGATAATTTAAATAATTTAATTCTCAAAATCTTATTCACTAGTGTGTATAAATAAATACTCAGGTCATGTTCCAGGCAGAAAATCATGGTCATATTGTTATAATTTCTAATGCTTTTTTTTACAATTCCAATGGGCACCTTTCTGCTAAAACAAGACTTACACCTGGAAAATATCTCTGAAATAACCACATGGCTAAGGAAAGCTTGTACACTTCCCTCTTCAATATGCTGCACTCAATTATAGTTGATTACAAAAGACTGGGAAGCTGCACAGCTAATACTGACGGCATCAGTAATACTGTGGTTTTAGCATTTAAAGCCATAGTTATAGCCACATAATTGCAACCTATACCACATACTGTTTCCTAGGTTGTTGCTAATGCTTATTAGCACATCCTTCAATCAAAAAGGTCAAACTCAATATGTCAAAGGTGTTCTTCAAACATGGAACGTTTAAGTTCCCCAAAAAGCATTAAATGTTCACCATCAGTGTAATCTTTAAATGCATTTTCAAATGCATACTTTTATGTGTAACAGCTAGCAACAAGTTTTCATATTAAGTCAGCAGAAATGAACCTAAAAGTGATTTCTGATATGATCACAGAAAGTCATTTTACAAATAATTCCTAAGAAATTTCAGTATTCAAAGGTATTTATTTTACTCTACTAGGCTCATTTCAGAATGCCCTATCATATAAACTTCTACAAAGAAGTTAATCTAGAATGAAATGAAGCTGGACTACCTTAAAACAAAACTTAAAAGACAAAAATCAAAACCCAAGTTAGCATAACGTTTCATTTTTTTCTTACTTTAATTTGTGTTGTTAAAAGTACTTTACGAAGTGCATCAACATTTCTTCCTCGTCTAGAACTAAATTTTTGAATATCTCGTCCTATGGCTGAAAAAAAATATTAATTTGCATTGTAAAAATTTCTATGCATTTCAGTTACACAGCTCTACGCAGCTTAAAATATAATGAGCATGCACACCAACAAAACAAGTAAACTATAAGACCAAATTACATGAATACAACTCTGAATTAACTTCAATTCAAGACAGAATGACAGTTGGTCTTACCTGAACTGTTGTTTTAGGAGGTTTTGCAGGATTAGCCAGGATTGGCTATTGTGATGTGCAATTGGCCTTGAGACAGAGTTAATATGAAGCCACGCCTCTGTGCTCCTTGCTTCTGGTTCCCAGTTTCAATGAGTCAAGACCACTGCAAAACACCTGAAAACAAATCATAAGGGAACACATCCTACCCCTGAACTCCCCCAACCACTGGACTAACTCTAGAGCGGGAACCTGGCTAATCCTGCAAAACCTCCTGAAACAACAATTCAGGTAAGACCAACTGTCATTTTCTGGAGGAATTTTGCAGGATTAGTCAGGATTGGGACATACCCAAGTTAACGTCTCTCAGGGGGGGCACTATTGGTCCTGGGCCCCTCATGCGCTACCACCTGTTGTAACACCCTACGACCAAAGGCTGCATCAGCCGATGCAAACGCATCAAACCTGTAGTGCCTGATAAAGGGAGACGGGGATGCCCACATAGCCGCCCTGCAAATCTCCACAATAGGCACCTGTGTGGCCCAGGCCGCCGAGGTAGCCACACTCCTGGTGGAGTGTGCTGTGATGCCCTGGGGCACTGGAAGGTGCTGAACCTCATAGACCAATGCGATGTCCATTTTGATCCACCTCCCTATAGCCAAGGAGGACACCTTCTTCCTCAGGGAAGATGGATAAAAGGAAATGAAGAGCACCTCAGACTTCCTGAGACTCTCCATGCGCCTCAGGTAAATTCGCAAGGCACGCCTGACATCCAGTTGGTGCCAAAGGCGCTCCCTATCATGAGACGGGTCCGGACAAAAATCCGGTAATACCACCTCCTGCGACCTGTGGAAAAGGGAGTTAACCTTGGGAACAAAAATAGGATCCAGTCGCAGGACGACCCGATTATTGTGGAATGTACAAAAATTCGACCTGGAGGACGCCCCCAGTTCAGAGATGAAACTTGCTGAGGTGACCGCCACAAGGAACACTACCTTAAGGGTTACGAACTTCAGGTCAACCGTCCTCAGAGGTTCGAATGGTGCTC